CTTCTCTAGCCATTCGTTTGTTGATGGGCACTTAGGTTGTTTCCAACTCCTTGCTATTGTGAACAAAGCTGCAATAAACATGGGTGTGCATTCTTTTACTTTTTAAAGAGAAGAGTGAATTGGGGAGGAGGGGAGGGCAGGGAGAAAAATGCAACAATGAATGAATGGAAATCCAAAGTCTCTGTAAACGTTCATTAAAATTAATACTTAAAAAAAGAGAAAAAAAATTAAAAAAAAAATGAAGCTGGTCCTTTGAAAGAAACCAAAAAAACAGAGAAACCAGAGACAATTTTAATCAAGGAATTAAAAAAAGATAAAATAAATATACACCACCAGAGATGGGAAAATGTATATACATTCATGTATATACAGCTTTATGGAAAATAATTTTAAGATCTAGATGAAATAAATAATTTTCTAGGAAAACATAAACAACCAAAGTTTAACTTCAGAAGAGATTAAAATCATGCAGAAATATCCAAACTTGTAAAAAATTCTATCATCTCTCTGCAAAATGAGATTCTGCATAACTTTTAAGGAATAGATAATTCCTAAGTCATTTAAACTTTTACAAAACTAACACAAATAGAAACTTTCTGATTTACAGAACCCTGATAACAACACCTGAAAAATGTAGTGCAAGAAGGGAGACCGGTTTAACATATAGGCTCCCCAACTCCAACTTCAATGTTTACTACCTATGTGATATTGAAATGTGATTTAACCTCTCTAAGCCTCGGTTTCCTTATCTGTAAAATGAAAGTGATAAGAATACATGATTACAAAGTTTTGATGATCTGTGTTTATAACATGTTAGCTGTTATTAAGAAGTAACATTATAAACTCATTTCCTAAATGGCAATAATCTCAAAAATTATCAGTAAATGAAGGCCAATAGTGAATAACAAAACAACAATGAAATAAAAAAATAGTAAAACCAGGACCAAGTCTAACTTATTCTAAGAGTGAAAGATTGGTTCAACCTTATGAAATCTAACAATATAATTAATAACATCAATAAGAGAACATGCCACATAATTATCTCAGTATATACTGAAAAAAACATTTGATAAATGTCAACAGATATTACAAAAAGAATTCAGTGTAAAAGAAAATCCTCTTAAAATAATTTTTTGTATTCTTTTTTTAAATTCAAAATGAAATTTTTACTTTATACTGGTTTACTTACAAAGTTCTTATACATTGTGTTTCATACCGGGTCTTTCCCATTTCCTTTACTCATGCCTTCCTCCACCCATCAAATTGTGTGACCCTATGCCTCCGCTGTCCAACCTGTTTTTTATAAGAAAAAGTATATTTAAGAAAATGTTGTTGTTGTATACCATTGAGTTGGAGCTGACCCATAACTGACCCTCTGGCTAGTTTTCAGAGGCAGTTAATTGCACAGGAGGAGACTGTCTATCCTCCTGCAGAGCAGCTGGTGGATTTGAACCACATGCCTTTGGGATCATAGTACAGCTTCAGTTATTGTGTTACTTAAGAAAATAATGGTGGAATAATATAAGTCATTCTATCAAAATAAGGAACAAACAAACAAACAAGTCATGCCCACCCTGGGGGCCTAAGGCAGGTGGTTCAAGTCCATCATTGCTCTTTGGGAGAAAGATGGCCTATATCCTGCTTTCAGAATCTGTAAGACTCAAGAAATTTGCTAGAGGATCAGCTATGATTCCTACTTGACAGCATACAATATAATGCTGCTAACAAGGTGATCTTTGCCTGTGCAATAAGACAGAAAAGAGATTTTAAACATGCTATTGACAACAGTGATATAGTACAAATATTATCTTGGAAAAAGAAGTGTGCATTTAATTGGCAATGGTTATATAATATGAATATTGGCAAGAGTATGTGCTAGGTATGGGTATGGGCTGGCACCTGTGAATTGGTCATGTGATGTGGACTCCCTCCCAAGAAGGGAGGGGTAGTCCTATACTGCCACTTGATGCTATTAAATTGATTTAATGAGTTCATTGTAATATTTATCATCTACAGCTGTCTTTGCTATAAAGTGTGACAACACAGGGTGACATAGGGTGACAATTATGTTGGGAAAAACCTTCATTATAGCTATTGATTGGGAGTTTGCCTCACAACTTGTAGTTATTTTTAGATGTTGAATTTTGTGAAGTTGTGAGTTAACAGGTGTGCTCTTGTGTATACTTTTTAGAATGTCTATGTTGACTTCAGAGGTACTATGAATGTGCCCGCGTTCTTTTAGTTCATAGAGCAGTGGCTTGGACACTACAAGAAAACTTTAATGATTCCTGGATCAATTCATCCGTTTTCAGTGTGAGAGACTGAGTTTCACAGAGTTTGGGTACCAGCAGAGGGAGCAATGCTAAAGTTTAGATTGAGTGACTCCACCATTCTGTCTCCTGTAGGCTGTGGACTTTGTGTATCTGGGCCTGTTTTGACTCAGGTTGTGTGGAGTCAATGGTCTGGGACTTGAAGAGTCTGTGGTAATAATTGGCAGTAGCTGGGTTGAGTCTTGCTTATATGAAAACCCCTTGCCTATATAAGTTGGCAAATGTGCTACTTCATTATGCTTATCCCACCCTGGACATCATCCTAACCCCTCACCTGTTTTCCTTCCAGAGGCCCCTGGGCACCTACCCAGATGAACACTTCACTGAGGAGGCCCCACGGCAGAGCATTGCAGCCTTCCAGAGCCGCCTGGCCCAGATCTCCAGGGACATCCAGGAGCGGAACCAGAGCTTGCCACTGCCCTATACCTACCTCGACCCTCCACTCATAGAGAACAGTGTCTCCATTTGACCTCTCATTAGCTTGGGAAAAAAGGCCAAGGAGAAACACCAGCTTTTCGGGATCCTCCAGGCCCATCCATCCTCCCTGCTATCATCAGACTGAACCTTCTCCTTTGCTCTTGGGACCTTTCCCTACCAAGATAGTAACGGCTTCATTATTATCTGAATCTGGCCCTGAGCTGTGAGAAGTCAGATAGCAGTATCCAGGGTGAGAAGCCAATGGTTGAACTCAAGCTTACAACAGCCCCTCCAAAACGGAGGCGTCCTATCACCCCTTCTCCTGCTTGGGAAAGTTTCCTCATCTACTCTCCTGTGGGAATCTACCTTTTCCCATTGGGTCCCCCACCTTGGGCCCTGAGCATTGGCCTTATGCCTCCTGTACCCTAAGGCTCACTCTCCCACTTGTCTGGGACAAAGCAACCAGCTGCCTTTTCTAGAAGAGCCTGGGGAGGAGGAGCGAGGAGGGATCATATGTATTGTGCCTTGTGACTCCAGAGTTTTTAAGAAGAGAGAAATAAGATCCTGCTCTGATCCCTAGCTGTGGTTTTCAGGGACCAGGCTCCTTGGCTTAGGAGTAGATTTGGGGGACCTCACCCTGACCCTAGTCTTACTCTATCATTTCTTTTTGTTTTTTGTCCTTGTGCCCACTAATTTCAACCAATATGTTCAAATAAAAATGTATGCTCAGTAAGTGCAAACCAATATGTCTGGCTCCCAGTTCCTTCTGTTTGGATGTGTGTGTGTGTGTGTGTGTGCTTCTAGGTGTGGGACTTGTTAATGCTGCCCATGGGATCCAGTTTTCCTGTTCTGCACAATGAAGACTCAGTCTCTGGCCCTCTGATGGATGGGTGGGGTCACACGACTAGTGTTAGTTAGTAAATGATGTCTTCACCAGGCTGAGAAGTTTAATTGCTGACGTGAGACTCTCCCAAGTTCTCTGTTCTCTGCCTCTGCTCTGGTGGAAGCAAACTTCCATCCTCTGGCATCTCTGAGTGACTATGAGCAGGACTCCCTGCTGACGTGAGCTGAACATGCAACTGAACAGGATGATTCCATTGCGTCAAGCCACTGGAATAATGCACTATTTGTTACTGCCACACAATCTAGTCTATTCTGACTGACAAAGATGGTAATCTGGGGAGTCTGATTATCTGCCACCCAACCCCATAACCCTGAAAAATAGAGACTTGTGCAGTCCTTAAAACAAAGACAGCAACCTTCTTGGTTGCCTGCTCTCTGGGACCTCGGATCCAGCTCACCTTACCAATTTTGCCCCTGAATCAAACCCTATAGCTGACCAAACAAACTTCAGCCTCTCTCAGTCCAGAGTGACAGTGTCTTTGGTCAATGACACAGTAACTGCTCATCCATTGCTATGGGCTGTTGGTAGCAGGGAAACCATAAGCCTTTAGTGCCAGAAAAATTGGAACTTACCCAGAGCCTCCTATGGCTGTAGTGTCACAGCCCCAATCCATACTTCCCTCTCTGTACATCACTCCATTCATTTGCCTCAGCTGCCAATATTCAAGAGAACAGAGGTGCTCACCTTACAAACATACCTTCCTGCAAAGTTAAAATGTAATTCATTCCCCCCCCAGTTGACATGGTGTTCTAGAGCCGCTGCTATGAAAAAATTCAGGCGCAGCTATTGTCCTATAGACCCAGGGGAAAGCTCTGCACATTCCTCTTCTTCTAACCCAAGAATCTCCTCCTTGTTCAATCCAGCCTTTCTTCCTTGCTCCAATATGTGTATGTGCAGAATTCAGCAATGCTAAGAGTTGAATTTTCACTTCCTCCACCTGTGATGCCATTGTTCATAGGAGACATGTTTTGGGGTGCCTCATCTAAGAATTTAGTTAAAATATCAGATATTGTCTGTCCTGAGACAAAATGAAAGGACTAAGAAATACCCACTGTTGGGAATACTGATTTGATGTAAACATAGCACTGCTGAGAGGATGGTGCAGGGCCTGGGCACACACTGTTGTGTTGTGAATTTGTGAGGTTGCCAACTCCCAGGCTAATGACAAGAAGTCCACATGTCTGAGGCACGTGAGTGGACCCTGAACTTTGTGTTACTGAGGCTGTCTGTTAGAATTTTTGAATGAAATAGCTGGGGAGATGAAATGGAATGGTCGACAGTAGGTCAGGTTTACTTTGGAAAAGCTGCGATTGAAGAAAGCAGAGTCAATTCCTGTGCTGTTCTCCTCTAATTATGTAGAATATATAAAGAAGGCATGAGGAATAAATTAACGTATAATTTTGTAACAATGAACAGAAGTGAAGAGGGATCATAATAAAAGAGCTTCAACATATCAGGGAGCCAGTGCCTTGGCAACTAACAAAATACTCAGAGGCACCCCTTTGTGAAGGCATTGGCCACAAAATGAGGCCCCAGTAAACAAGGGGACTGTAACTGACACATTTCAAATAATAAACACAGTCTTGGACATGCTCACCAATCTGTGCCTGGAAAGTTGGAAGACATCTACTTGGCTGACTGATGGGAAGAGGTTCATTTTTGTTCCCATTCCCAAGAATGGCAATCCATCAGAATGTGGAAATTATCAAACAATACCATTCATATCATATACAAGCAAAATATTGCTATTGATCATCCAAAAATTACTTGAACAGTACATAGACAGAGAATTGCTGCAAGTTTAAACTGAGTTTAGAAGAGCCCAAGGCACCAAGGATATCATTACTGATGAGAGATGGATCTTGACTGAAAGCAGAGAAAACCAGAAGAATGTCTATTTATGCTGTATCGACCATGCAAAGGCATTTTACTGTGTGGATCATAACAAATTATTGCTAACATCAAGGAAAATGGGAGTCCCAAAACATGTAGTTGTGCTCATTCGAAACCTATATCTAGTTTTGGGTGTTGTTGTCTGAATAGAACAAGGAAATACTACATGGTTTAAGATCAGGAAAAATGTGCATCAAGATTGTATCCTAACTCTATATCTGTTCAATCTGTATGCTGAGCAAATCATTCAAGGAGCTAGACTCTGTGAAGAAGAATGCTCCATCAGGACCAAAGAAAGACTCATTAACATTCTATGTTATGCAGAGGACACAACTTTGCTTACTAAAAGGGAAGAGGACTTGAGGCATTTGTTGCAGAAGATCAAAGTCGACAGCCTTCAATATAGATTGTATCTAAACATCAAGGAAACAAAAATTGTCACCACTGGACTGATAGGAAGCATCATGATGCATGGAGAAAAGATTGAAACTGTCAATGACTTCATCTTCCTTGGATATACAATCAACACTCTTGGAACCAGAAGTCAGGAGACATATCACACTGGGAAAGTATGCAGTCAGTGAGCTTTCCAAATTACTGAGGAGCTATGATGTCAGTTTGAGGACTAATGTATGCCTGATTTGGGTCATAGTCTTTTCAGTCTTTTGCTATGCATCTGAGAGTTGGACGAGGAATAAGAATGGCAGAGAATTGATGCCTTTGAGTTGTGGTGTTGGAGAAATGTACCGAATATTCTGTAGATAGCCAAAAAAAAAAAAACAAACCCAAAAACGGATATGTCTTGGAGAAAGTGCAGCCAAAGTAATCCTTGGGGGCAACGATGGCAAAGCTTTGTCTCACATACTTTGGGCATGTTGTTAGGTGAGGCTATTCTTTGGAGAAAGACGTCATGCTTGGAAAGGTAGAGGGATGGCATAGTAGGGAAGGCCCTCAACCAGATGCATTAACACAGTGACTGCAGCAATAGGCTCGAGTTTGTCACAGATGCTGATGGTACAATGGAGGACATCATGCTGAGTCACAAACGGACAAATATTGCATAACAGTATAAAACAGTATATGGTGGTATAAAAGCGGACAGATGGAGGGTGGGGGTGGGGAAAGAATAGGAAAAGAGTGAATAGGAACAGTGAGAACTGGAAAAGAGTGGAAAATGAATACTGTATTAGATTAGATGAGGGGAGAGCTGTCCAAAAGAAATATATGATTAGACATTATATGTATGGACAACAATCTGGAACAAGGGTGGGCATTGTGGTAAATTTGGAGGAGGGGGAGTGGAGGGGAGAAGAAAATATGCAACAGTGAAAAAATAGAAAAAGATTTTCTTTTTTAAAAAATTATTTTAATTGTGACTTTAATGAAAGTTTACAGAAAAGTTGTTTTCTTTCATTCATTGTTGCACATTTTCCTCCCTCCCTACTTTGTTATGTTGTTAGGTGCTGTCGAGTCCTAGGTGACTCATAGTGACCCTATGAAAGAAAAAACCTGAACACTTGTATAACTTCCATCATTTCTCAAAGTTCATAGGGTTTCCAGAGGCAAGCTATTTTGGAAGTGGATGCCACTCCTGCTTCCCAGCTTATTTTAATCCGGAAGCTTCAAACATTGTCCACCATGGGTGACCATAATCACATTTGACACATCAGTGTCACAGTGTTCAGCATCCTATCAACCATGTACAGCAAATGGACTGACCAGTGCTATACCATTTAGAAGAATGTTCACTTTAAAATAAAACATTTTTATGTTAAAAAAAATGACAGTGAGAAAGGATGGAATATGGAGTTTATTGGGGAGACACAAATAATCGCACATGGGTCCTCTGCTTGGCTCTGGCATCCCTGGAGCAGGATTTAGGGAGGAGCTGACGTCAAGCAGCTGCATGGGGTGCTTCCCCTGCTTGCTTGTGAGACCTCTCTGTACTTTTCAGCAGCTTGGTTCAGTGAAAGGCATGCCACCTCTTTTCTGCTCAGTCACCAGCACCTGTGTAGGACCTTAAGCTAGTCCTTCAGTCTCCATGGCCTCCTTTTATTGAATACATGGCTTGAATGGAAAAATTGGGAGAGTTCCCACCAGTGTTGACATTATGGGAAGGAAGGATCTGTTTGAGTCATGGCTCCTATCTCTCTTAAACACCATCCTAGCTCCTGGGAAGTAGTGACTTGTCCAGGCATACACCCTGACTCCACTAGGTTTTAAATGGTGAAGGGAACTGATGATAAAAACACACAAAACCTTTTGTACAATGTTAAGTGCCTGGAGAGATGAAAACATGCAGTGTCAGTATAAGTGAGGACACAGTGCTGGGAGGGGACATTTAACAGTGTCAGAGGGTCAGTAGGTGAGACCCTGGATGTTGAGACCTGGATGATAAAAATGAAACAACTTGGGAAAAGGTGTTTTTCATGCATTGAAAAATGATGTGATAG